ATGCGGTAAGTAAGGATTAGGTCTCCTCGAAGCCGTCGGTAGTGCATTGAATACATACCCAAGCTAAGTAGACGCTCGGGGTACTATTGCCCCCGTAACCCCTCGACCGATTTGTTACCTACTCTCAAACCCTCTCGAGCTCCATTTTCTCCAAAACAAGGCAAGGCGGGCAATCCTGGACGAAGTACTCCAACTGGGGCCGGACGAAAGCTGAGGACAGCTTCACAAATATGTCGGCAGTTAGGATCCCGAAAGAACGTCGTATTAACCACAACATTCGGAAACCCCTATTAGCGGTCTTCTTCCAGTTGTCACCAGAATGTAAAGAGGAGGAATGCACGCACAGGTCAACCTGGTTTGAGAGAAAGGGGGTTCGACCCCACCGAGTACGTAGCTGAAAGGCGGGAAGTTGCTCCGTTATGAAGGACGGAACACTTGGCCTGATTCATGGGCAGTAGCCACAAAGCAGACCAGTCCCAGAGTCTGTCCAGTGCTTACTGTATGACCTCAAAACCCAGAGAAAAATTTGCAACATTCCAGAGCTTAAGGTCATCTGCAAACAATATGGATGATACCCCAAGCTCTCCAGGGAGATCGTTTACGTAGATGGAGAACAGCATCGGTCCAAGGACCGAGCCCTGTGGGACACCACTAAGGACCGCTTTCTTGAAGGATAACCTGCGACCCACACGTACACACTGCTCTCTTCCCTGCAAAAACGCAGCTACCCAGTGAAGGGCGCGGCCAGGTACGCCGTAAGACCTCAGCTTTATGATAGCCTTTAGTGGGGTACCATATCAAATGCTTTCGAGAATTCTACGAAAAGCACATCCACTACGTGGCCATTGTTCATTGCCTCGGCCCAAGCTTCACGAGCAACCCACAAATTCGTCAAACAAGAAAACCCCTTCCGGAATCCATGTAGTGCACTAGTGAGTAGATTAAATCTATCCAGGCGACATTCCAACGAATCTGTTACCAGCTTTTCAAGCAGTTTGAACATGACGCTAGTCTGTCTAACTGGTCTATATTTGGCTGACAGACTCCTGTCGCCATTTTGAAGATAGGACAGATGACAGCCTCCTTCCATTTGGAAGGTAATGTACAGCTATCAAGTGACTTGTAAAACACCATCGTCAGCGGTCCACTTAATTCCCCCGCCAACTCATGCAGAAGATTCGGGTGATATGAATCAGATCCAGCTGCTTTGGAGGGGTTCAGTTCTTTCAGAGGTTTAAGAGCTTGCGTTTCCACCACAGTAAACTCAGCTAAATAAGAACCCTCAGTTACTCTGGGGACAAGTTCAAGGCTAGTCAACGCGGTCCTTGCATACTGTTCCTTAAGTAAACGAGCCTTATCTGAGTCCGTATAAGCACGAGTTCCATCGGCCCGCATCAAAATGAGGTTTACCGAAGTTGAACCACAGCGTCTCTTGAAAGCTTTGGAAGATACTGCCAAGTTGTTGTCCAAGAAGGTTGGCCGCCTCTTCTTCCATTTGGGCTAACCCACATGCTGTGTGCAGAGCCGGAATACCGCGCTCAACACGGCGCAAATTGTTTTCGTGTCTATACAACAGTTTGGGATTGGAGAAAAACTTTTCCACTAGACCTTGTTGGTTCTTCAGTTTATCCTCCCGGACGAGTTTGACACAGTGATTTCGTTTTATTATGTAGACATCCCAGGTATCGTCGTTCGGGGAGGCCATGTAGGGGTGCCATGCCAAGTCTCTTAATGCCATGTATTTACGTGTCCTTCTCCTTACGATAAACTACATCGTTTAGGCCGGTAGAGTTTTGTTTCAGAGGTCCTTGCCATGAACTTGTTAAACATGTAGAGGAATTCTCCACAGGCCACCTCAAGGGTCAAGTCGGGTAAGAACGACCAGATTGTTGCACCACTGAGGTCGGACAGGTCGTCATAGTTGGTTACGACATGATATTACTCGGCATGCTCATTAGGAGAGTCCTCGTAGCACACGTAGTGAAACACTAGTGTGGCATGATCGCTGCGGCCCATGGTGCACCAGTCTTAAGTGCGCACTCACGTTGAATACGCCATACAAGCTTGGCAACCTTGGTTGAAGCGTGACTTAGAAATGCTAGTAAAACCCCAACGTAGGGCCACAAAGAACGTCTAGGGCCTACGAAATCTGTTCTATTATCAAGTGCTGTAGTCATTGGGAGATTTCAGCGTCCGCTACCGAAGGCTGCGCGAGGACCTCATGCCGTGGGACCCTAATCACGGATGCCGTCACTTGCAGAAACTCAGCCATAACACCAAACTCAGAGGTACCTCTGCAATTGAACGAACAGTTTACACGCCTGCAACGCCAGCGGTATTATTCTTTCGAGTGTGCCAAACATAAACGCTCTCCAAAACATTTGTTTTCTTCCCTATCTTGGATAATTTCAAAAGCGTTTGGCGCTTGCTTCTGACCCCAACACAACGTTGTCCAATCTGTGTTACTTTGGAAAATATTAATTATCCATTTAAACCCGATTAACATGTCACTTATACCAGAATAGCTGATATATAATTGCGAATTCTCGTGCTTATTTTCCTCACGGAGTACATCAACCATAACTGTACCAGTTGTCTCGTCGATTTTATTCAATGCCCAATTACACCAACATTATGTATCGGCGTACCTGCAAGGTAGGCGCCCAAACAGACAATTCACATACCTTCTGCTGTCGTTGTTTTATCCAAATCATCCAGCGGGATTTAACAAGCGATTGCTTCTTTAACCGGCATATATCGTCGTTCGTGTTCATTATTAGAGGCTTGAGGAGTTACCGAGCTGCTGCATCAGTTGGCACCTAACATTGGCCTCGCGAGGATAAAAATCGTTGTTGACTAAACTCGAGGAAAGAGAAAAGCGTGTGGCTGGATGAGCTATGGACAATCCAACGAACATTTTCCCTGGTTAGGCGGCGTCCTGATTCAAAGTTAGCAATCCAAACTGATGCGGGCCGTTAGAATTTTACGTGTGTGGACCTGAAGGTTGTTTTAGGAGGTGAGCGGTACGCAGGTGTTTTTATGGACGTGAGGTCTCGTTGACTGCGTTGACCTCTCCATAGAATCACAAGAAGCTTTATTTATCTGACTTTACGATGGACAACATACGAGTCCTTAGGCTGGTACAAGCACTGAACCTATGTACCGCAGCTAGGCTTGATTAAGTTCACCTAAACCTTCTGCATGCGTTGCGGCGAAAATTAAAGAACAGCTGACGACCGTGTTTCAGAAGGCACTTGATTGCCGTATACCTACTTCTGAAGGAAAAGAGAGACTGTCATCGGCTCTGTCCTCAGAAGTGGAGACGGGACTTTCATCGTCAATTCTACGCTTGTCAGTCTGACGAGCGTTTTAGGCAAACTGCTTGAGTAGCGGGTGGTAGTTTCGTTGGAAGGATACCAGAATAAGTTTCATCAACTCGGCAATGTGCAGGACAGGTTCGGGTAAAGGTTTACTTTTGTGATATTTTTGGGTTGTGCTTGAAGCTTGAACTGAGGCAATGGACTAGTGGACGTGCTTTTCCTCTAAATTTACAAGGCGCCTGATTTGGGACCTTTGTTACTCTACGCTTTTTTGGTGTAGCTGGCCGCACCATTCACTGGATAGCGGCAATCTTGCACTGAATAGAACATAAGGTACGCGAGAGTTACAGCTTTTCCATTAGGCGAGCGGTGCTTTGCGGGGTCTCACAGGGCCAAGTCCCTTGACGGATGCTGTTCTCCAACTTCGTAAACCCCTTGCGGAGTTTGGTATCCTTGCCATTATTTGTTGAGGATATTAAGCGGTGGAATGTTGTAAATGTCCATGAGGTACTGAGGTCCTTACACTGGCGCCATACTAGCTCTGTTGCTGGCTCACTTTGTGGCTACTGCTCATTCCTCAAGGGCAACTTATCACCTAGGATGTGGATGCTCCTTGAAACCGAACTCCTACTTGTCATGCAGACGGCCCGAGAGAACACTATATCTACAACGTTGTAATGCCTACTAATCCAAGCCAAATACCTGCAAAATTCATTCATACATACGCGCAACTACACATACCAGCTACTGCTTTCCTTTTAGCATTCTTGCAACTTTGCCAATAATGCATGTTGTTATCGTTATTAGCATGGCTATTTAGGCATCCACTGCCATGTCAAGAATATACTATTTGTTTGTTCCATTATCCTGACAACGAACAACGTGCAAGTTAGACTTCATATACTGTGCATATAAACCTTTGGTATTATCCCTCGTTTAAATGGCTTTTCTACCTCTTTCTCCACCATTTTTCTTCAGCTTTCTTACCTCACGAGACCGTCACAGAGGGGACTGCTAGTGCTGGAAAAGCTTGCAATGATTGATTTCTCAGGTGTTTCGTTTTGCTTCCAACATGAACTCAGGCACCTTAGCACTTCCCGGCTCAAAGGTCCGCTCAAGAGTGAACACTTAAGGCATTTCCCTACAGCTCCGGAACCATTTTAATTTAAACTTCAGGAAGGACTGAATAAGTTCTCTAGTACACGTTACTTAGCAATTCACGTAAAGCATACGTTTAGCAAAGTGCCTACTTTTTAAGTTTCTGTGGCGGTGTTTTAAATTTTTAATATATTTAGCAACTTCGATATACGCAACCCATTTTTTCGAACTTGTCATCAACATGTTTTGAGACCCTTTAATTGCATACTGGCGGGCTTAACAGCTTTTAAGTTACAAGCTGTTCTGCAGTAAAGAATATTGATGCAAGAGTTGAACGACTTTTACAATAACAATAAAAAGAGTTGAAGTATTCTTCTAAACAAGACATATATGTTTTTACTTAGTAAACTAGTTTTAAAAATATCAGTTTAGATTATTGACTAAGTGATTGCATGACATCGTGTGGGTTAAAATATATGCTCGTTTGTATACAGAAGAAAAATTCAGTAATTCGCAGCTATCGATCATTGCAAACATAAAACAAAAGTTAGGGATTATACTCGGCTGCTTCATCAAAGTTGTCCTGCAGAACGCCAGACTGCATTTTTCGGCGCTGTGCTATCAAGCGCTCCCATCACGGTTTGGTTAGCTGATTGCGGGTGCTTTCCTTGGGCATCATGTACCAAAATGTCATCATGTCTTAGATTTATTCGCATCAAACGCAAGCACAATAAGTAAGCACGTAGTTAGCAGCTATAATTCGACTTATTATCACGCAGTAGCGTTTTATTAGTCAGTTCCAAATAACTAACCGTAATAACCCTATAAATTTGTATTAATTACTTAGCATAAAATCTTTTTTGTAAATTATTTAATGTCACGGAATCTGGTACATTTTGTTTAAAAGCTAGGAATATTTCTTTTTTAACAACATTTTTACTTTGTTCTATTCGGTTCAAATGGCTTGTAGTTGTGAATGTGCAGTTGAGGTAACTATGTACCAGCTGAATCGCTGCCAGCATGACACTCCTCCGACAGTTTGCCAGCATTTCGCTAACATTCGGCCTCGGACAACGAATTGATTGGGGAACGATTTCAGCGGATTCCTGACAGTCCGAGTGTGCTAGCTGGATTGTGAACATCACCAGCACGCTCTGTTAGGTATCTCATAACAGTCCGTCTCAACCCGACCAATATGTTTCGAATACGTCTTGCACTGAGAGAGCCAACGGCGTTGGAATAGCAACTGATGGCGCAACAACCGTTTCTCTATTGTGCATCAATCTGTCATTTGTGCCACTGGAGTCGTCACATTCATTGTTATGTTACCAGGTCTGAGCTTACGCATTGGTTATGAAAATTCTTTTAGTTTGCAGCACATAAAATTCAACATGTATTTTATGATGCGCTATTTCTTCCATTGAAACGTGACTGGAAATGAACGCGGTGTACGTGCCTCATTGACCTATTTAGTCATACTGGGCGGTGCATCCGAGCCCCATGAAAGTTAGTTTTACTAGGTTGAGCAATGGTTAGAGACCAGACAAACTCAGTCTCCTAGTCCTCCAGCTAGGGGGTTTGAAATGTGATGGCGTCCATTTCTATAAAACTAGCTCACTGCTTCTTCCGTGCTGCTTTCGGACAGGCTTTTGAACCGAAGGCTTTGGTTGAAGGCCCTAATCGTGCTCCTGTCTAAATCTGGACGCCCTGGCAGTAGCTCAGCCTACAGACAATCAAGATAATTTCTCCATTTGATGCGATATGCTCAACTTTGTTTAATATTACGAAACAAACCACTCACCAAGGTCGCTTTCATCGCGATAAATCAATAACAAATTTAAGCTGCTTTGGCTTTTTACTGGAAATATTAGATTTTATGCAGTAAAACCGCATCATCACAATTAGCAATACAATACAAATTTTCTAGTTGGCTTTTGACAAATTATCTGCTCGTACCTATAACTTCCATCTACCTATATGCCACCATAACTGTTCGAGACTTTGCTATGCATTAGAGTTTGACAAGTAGTCACGGTATTTAGTAGATGCGCATACTGCGACTGTTTGTCATGTCTACTTTAAAGTTAGTGCCATTTTACAGTATAAATAGCACAGTTTAGACAACACACTAGGTGATTGCGTCACAATTTCTAGTGTAAACACTGGATCGTAAAATAGCAAAACATTTTTCTATAATTTCAATATTGCGTGCAGTTTCCACTCGTTAGGTAATTTTCTGAAGAAAACATTGTCAATTTTAAGCACTGTAAATGCATCTAAAGTATCAACAATATCTACACAATTTGCCTTCAGGTTTGCATTATACATCCCTACCATTCCTGCTTAGAGGTTTTAATGGTAACCAGAAAACTGAAAACGTATGTTGCGGCCTAGTAGTCGACAATTGTTGTTGACTTCAAAAATGTATTGGATAGCAACTGTTAGATGTTGCGTAGGCTAAAGCGTTTGCTGGTAATTGTGGTTGATTATGTGATTCAAATGCAAATCCGTAATCAAGTGTGGTGGCGCATCCAATCCTAAGTTTGACACATGCTTATTTGCGTAAATTCTCAAACCTTTTATTTTCTTGTCTCCATTGTTAACTTGCTGGCTCCTGTCGACAGGTTTCTAGCGCAATGCTGCAGTTAGAAGCCTTAAAGTGCTTTCGTATTGTATCCTACCCCTATAAAAATTGTGCTGGTGTGCGCAGCTGATTTATTGTGATTGCAATTGTTTCTTCGTGTACTTGTCGATTATTGACCCAATAAACGTGCCTTTAAATGTGGTATAACTATAAGGGTCTTCTTCACTTTTCACACCTTTTCACTTTAAATGGCTTATGTCGGTAAACGTAAGGCTGGATCATAATGGTTACATAATTACCCCGTACTTTCAGCTCTTATAAAAAAGAAGCCGTATTTCATAGGTAGCTTTAGATGTGGCTAATTTAGTCAAATGTTGCATTAAATTTCCAAGTCATGGTTAAACGGGGAGCAAGACGACGGTTTCAAAAGATACAGCAAGTTGCATGGAAGCTTTCTTATTTTAAAGTAAAGACTTGGCCTAGCCATGAATACCGCACGGCTGCTGATGCTATGTAGAGGAAAGAAAAGCCCAGCACACGGAACGTTCACGCGTTGCAAATGAAACGAGCGCTAAGCAATCTAATTCAACAACTAGTTCAACAGTCAACACCGGTCGCTTAAGTATAAACTGAAATAATAATTTTAGTTAGAACGTTACACGACCAAACCGGGAAATCTCCAGCTTGCTCCAAATGCTACAAAATGTGAGATGTCTGGTTAGTAACCCTAGGTTATTGTTATATAGTTGCGAAAACGATAAGCCAAAGTTTAGCGATTACAGGTCTAAGGTAGCGAAGACGATTGTGCCTATGGTTAACATAATTGCATACATCACCAATAATTTATGTATTGAGCCGGCACTTCAACCGGTGTTTAGCTACACTAACATAGCAGCAACTAAAGCAAATATGCGGCTTGTAAAGATGTGACCGAACAATTTTGTAGTGCGTTCCTAGTTCGTATCCGCTTTAGCTAGCAAGATGACGAGTCATTGGTGAATGCTAGTATACAACCTTTGTCCTATGATTTGATAAAACGATTAAGCCTCCATGTATAATCTTTTAGGTTAATTTGTATCGTTACGACTAGCACCCTAACCACTTCGTTGTCATACGTTTGGTGGAATTCTAGAATCTAATAACTTTGAAACTTCAACTGCTAAATGTGGGGGTATAACAAGCAGCAGCCACAAATAACCGCCTTTTGCACTTTAGCTTACAGGGACAAAACATCAGATATGCACTCTTTCTATGTATTAATTGAATAGACATAACGAAAATGGAGTATCCAAATTAAACGGTAAGCATTTTCCCCACTGGTCAAGGATCATCATCATCATCAACAGCAGTACATCAGCCATCTGAACTGATGCTTCGCTGCCATACAACCATGAGGACATATGAAATAAATAATAAGAGAGAAAACCTAAATGTCCTAAGCAGATATTCATGGTCAAGGCGCCTACATCTTGTGTAGATAATATACCATCACAAATAGCTGGCTATCGTGCAAAGATAAGGCGGCATCAGCGAGACAGCCTCCTTGCGGCTTTCACTGCCACGCGTCATAATCAGCCATTACCCCGCAGATAACTCAGCACGAACCACACTTTAAACAGGCAATCCGACTATGAGATAGCAGCAGGCACGCCACTGGTGTCCATTACGAGTTTCATCCTGTAAAGTCTCGAGCCAAGCACAAGGCAAGTCACGTGGACTCCAGCCTGGAGGGCAAGACGGACCAACGGCACCCATTTTGATCGTCATTGACTTCATTTCCCGCTGCCAAGTCAAGTACTGTCCACCTCGAGCCTTGCGCCACCCTACTATAGCGCGATGATCGTGCGCTATATATCCCGTACGAGACTGGACAGTCAACCAAAAGCAATGGGTAGAACACACCAAAGTAAGCTAGGAGAAAAGCTTATTGGACAGTAGGGGAGTTAACTAATGATAAAAATAGAGCACCAGAAGACAGCTACCTAGAGAGGATGTAGTAGGGCATCGAGTGCGTTGACGGAGCGTCGTTCGCAGTGGAGTCGAGCGCCAAAGGCGGATATCCTATTCGTGTTTCAAACAAACGGGAACAACGTTCCAACTGGCGAACCGCGTAATTACCTAATACATAAGAAAGCTATAATTTTAATATATTCTAGAATAGCTTACCCAGTCATACGGCGGAATCTCCAGGTCACTACACTACACTTGGCAGACTAAATAATGCCCTCCTAGGTAAGCAATGACCAGGCATACGTAGCATGTGCCCAAGCCAACGCAACCGAATCAGTGCTATGTGGTGTTCTAGGGGGCTAGCATGAGTAACACTATCTAGTACTCGCCTACGCACGTCCTCGTTGCATACACGCTGGTACCATCCGACACCAGCAATGCTTCGTAGACAACGATGGTCGTAGACTTGTAGGCGCTCAGATCTTCAGACTGAAGAGGCCAAGTTCCACTACCGTAGAGAAGAATGGACCTCACTGTGACCTTGTATACACGACCTTTCAGACGGAGGGATACTCCCTTCTGTCGTCAGAGATGCCGCAGGTACAAGAAGGCAGTTCAGACTTTTGCAATGCGTGAACTTATTTCAGTTTCTATGCGCCCATGGTTGCTGATGCAACTGCCAAGGTAAGTGAAGTGAACAACCAGCTCGAGTTCCTCATTATCAAGGATCAACGGGTCATCAAGTTGCTGGTGGTCCTGTAACAACACTTTGCACTTTGAAGGTGCGAAAGGCAGAACAAATATTGGGGCCGTTCTAGACAAGCTATTCAGGCTTGCTTGTGCCACCGCAACGTCGTCGAAAAGCAAGACGATAACGTCCGCATAATCGAGATCAACTAACCTCTCCTTAGACAACACCTCAACGCTTACACCGTAAGATTCCGCAAGGGAATACTTCTTGATAAAGTCCATGACGAAATTAAAACAAAAATGGGGAAACCGGACAACTCTGACGAACGCCACTTGTGGTTGGAAAGCTATCCGACAGATCACCGTAGACCCTGACGCGGCCGGTAGTGTTCGAGTATAGAGCACGTAACATGTTCATATATTTCGTGGGAACACCTTTCCGTATAAGTATTTCGTACAGCATCGATCGATCGACTGACTTTAATGCACTCCTGAAATCGAGGAACACAA